TAGTACAACGGTAACTCTGAATATGGACATTTTTTAATGGTAACCAGATTTATTGCATATATTTAGAACAAGTGCCCCCTCAATGATGCTTAGGAAACAATACACGGGAGGCTTGATAGTTGATACAGTAATTAAAGTAGTTATTTGATTGAAACTGGTAGCTATTTCAATTCTACTCTCAGTATCTCCTTTTATATATAATTGGCAATATATTCACATAGTATATAATAGTTTGGAAATGGAATCAATACTTGTATATTTTTAGCAAATGAGCATTGTTATTGATCAACAATGACTCTTATTGCTATAAACATCATTGTTTCACATAGCAACAGACAAGGAAACATCTGTATTTAAATTCACTACTTATTTTTTATCCAGACACAAATTGATGTAAAAATTGTTTCAGGTTTGGCTTAGTTATAGCCTTACATTGGGCTATTCCATTTAATATCCATACCCCCCCCCCCTGTCGAGGATCCCTGGAATTCTTCAGGGGTAAAGGGTTTTGAGCTTGGAATTCTTCAGGGGTAAAGTGTTTTGAGCTTGGAATTCTTCAGGGGTAAAGGGTTTTGAGTTTGGAATTCTTCAGGGGTAAAGGGTTTTGAGCTTGGAATTCTTCAGGGGTAAAGGGTTTTGAGCTTGGAATTCTTCAGGGGTAAAAGGTTTTGAGTTTGGAATTCTTCAAGGGTATAACCATGAAAAACATGTATCCTCGACAGGGGGTGTACCGATATTAAATGGAATAGCCCATCATGCTGTCAAGTGGCAATCATTTACAAAGCAAGTCTATAACCAAATGTTTTACAACCTGAGGAACTTCTTAAATCAATTATTCTATAATTTATACAGATGCTACAAAAACACCAGGCATCTTAAATTTATATAGATAACTCCATTTACAAAAGCACAAAGACCACAGACTACAACATGTTGAGTGTTGACCATAATGTACTGTATTGTTTAAAGCTTCAAGTTTTTAACACAAGCAAAAGCTGTCACTCCAAAGTGCTGGCAACAATATGTCAATTTAACAAAACAACGACAACGTGTGCGATGATTTCATTTAGCCAATTCTTTCATGGTTATAATGAATATACTCATACTGTAGATCGATAAAAAGTCATTCATAAATACCATGCCATTTTGTAAGTATATACCCAACGTCCCAATACTTTTTCATACGATTAATATTATATCCTTCGATTTATATTGTTTGATTTCGCATTCCATTTCTGATAAACATTGATAATTCTCTCTTCGCGTATGTCCACGCGTAATTCTCGCAAAAAACACGCATTAATTGTGTCGGCAGCATTGATGATCACGGCAGCCAATCAAATAACGATTTCGATTCGATTTCCCTAGAGTCATGCCACTACCTAACCCGCGAACAGGTATACTCTGGGAACGAGATTGTTCAGAAACATCCTATTATTGTTTAGCCTGCATGGCAGGCGGTTCCTAAAATTGGGCAAGCCTAGGAAATACCGCCTGCCATGCAGGCTAATTATTGTTATCCTTGTTAACCCATTTATTGACAGTACCCTACCACTGACTGAGTATTAAAAATAATCTGGCGTTGGACAGGGTAAATACTAAAGTAGAGGTCATTACTGTGCTGATGAATTAACAAGAGCCATTGGCAGATTGTTAACCCATTTACTAGCAGTACCCTATACCACTGACGAGTAAAATCTTCTGGCGCTCGACAAGGGAAGGGCGCATTGCCAGCTAATGGGTTAAACCACCGTGGTTAAACATAAGATTTCATGATGCTCCAGGAAATGTAAACAAGCTATCAGTGTGACATCTCAGTTTATATATTTATATACTCGGAATATTGATTTCTCGGTACATACAAAATTATTTTAAAGTATAAGAACCAGCGAAGACGTAAGGCACTAACTACCCTGCACCGCTGCGCGCAGACTATATAACGACATATATATGTCATCCGTCCGGTCCGTCCGTCATTCATCCGTCCGTATCCGCGTTTTATCCTAACCCGTTTTTAAAACACAAAGTTTGCATTTAATTAAGGCAGTGCGGTTCGTCATGATCAATATTTTCAAAAGCAGCCAATTAGACCAGGGGTTAAAGGGCAATGACAATGACATGCAGGTGACATTAAAATTTGCGTGTTTAATAGTGTTTATCAAAGAAAGCAAAAATATATACAAGACAATCTCACATGTGGAGTTTTTTCACTTACAGTACGTACTGCCTTGGATGCAGTACAAGTATAAATACAAATGACAAAGCATTTGTAAATCCTAAAACATAATTAAATCATACGGCACATTTAAGATTTTAATATCGTATTTCAGCCGCGTTTATATTGTTTGGCGCATTCGCTGCGTTATATTCATTTACATGTATATACACAGAAAAGCATGTCATTGTCCTTGCAGACCATAGGCAAAAAGCATTTGTCAACCATCCACATACCAAATTTAAGCAATCGTTAAATCATATACATGTCATGGAAAGAATATGGAAATAATGTTGAATGAAAGCTAGCAATCCTAGCATCGCGTATAATATTAAAAGCACCGCATATAGTGCTCGAACGACTGCGTATAATTGCAAAAGCATCGCGTATATAAATGGTGAAAGCACCGCGTATAATACTGGAACCACCGCGCATAATACTGGAACCACCGCGTATAATGTCGAAAGCACCGTGTATAATGCCAAAAGCACCCAACAAAATGCCGTTTGATCACTTTAAGCCAGCTATGGCTTTCCATAAAAGAAGACCAAAGATGAAACATGATCACATTGCCTGTTTGCCTTATGCCTGACCGCGCTGCACCACGGTTAAAATTCACTGGTACCGTCATGCAATGCGCCAAATAGAAAATTTTGATTTCGACCCACAAAACAAAATTAGGATCTGCTGCCTTGCTCGCTGGCTTCAGGCTCGCTCGCTGCGGCAGCAATGACTGAAAATTGCAAAGTCTAGATTTGTTGAGTTCAAAATTTTGGTTAATCGGGGAAAGTTCCGTTGGAATCATCCATAATTTATACACTTGAATGTGCCGTATGATAACTCGGCGCTCGAAGTTTCATATCGAAAGAGGAACAGCGGAACAGGTAAGATGGCTAACAAGAATGAGTGTACTTATCAACTTATCTAACGCGAGGAAAAGATCAAAATGGCAGGTGTGGCTGTGATATCTAGTATATAAAATTGTATAGACAATTTGCCTACAAATACGGTGCTGGTCAAAACGGCCCCGCTTCAATAATCATATGATTTAGACCAGGGGTTAAAGGGCAATGACAATAACATGCAGGTGACATTTAACATGTGCGAGTGTGCGTCCCACTTAATTTACGTGTTTAATAATGTTTATCAACGAAGGCAAAAATATATACAAGACAACCTCACATGTGGAATCTGTTCACTTACGCACTACGTTGTGATGCAGTACAAGTACAAATACAAATGACAAAGCATTTTTAAAGGCTTTAAATCCTAAAACATAATTAAATCATACGGGTGATACGGCACATTCAAGATTTTTATTAATATCGTATTTCAGCCGCGTTTATACTGCTTGGCGCGCATTCGCTGCGTTATATTAATTTATATACCTATGTTATATACACATATTTATTACTAATAAATCAACACTATATGATAATATATAAGAACTCACAAAGTGCAGTCACTGAGTCACCTTTTTATAAATAAACCTTTTTAAAAGCATGTCATTGTCATTGCAGACCAGAGGCAAAAAGCACAGCCACTGAGCCACATAGGCCTACCAGATTTATTAAGCAATCGTGAGATTATATACATGGAAAGAATATGGAAATTATGTTAAAAGCACACCGTCGCAGATAAACATGCACCAATCAGACAACGTCGTGTCAAGAGTGAATATAAACCGTGGCTGACAAATGAAATTAAGCAAATGAGCTATCGTAGGGATTACCTTAAAAAGCAATCGATTAAATTAAGATCTGCGTATTATGATAAGGCTTACAAGAGATGTAAAACAAGTTAAATAATCTCATAAAAGAAACTAAACAAGAATACTTTAGAGATAAACTAAGCAATGCTAAAAATAGCAAAGAAAGTTGGCGAACTATTAACGAATTATTAAACAAAAAGCCTAAAACTTCAGAGGTTAAAGAACTAGATATAAATGGCCAACTTATTACTGACGATGATAAAATTGCAGATGCCTTCAATCAATATTTTTCCACAATTGGCAGTACGTTGTCTGACAAGATCACAGGTAACTGCATTGATCCAATGAACTTTGTGACTCCTCTTGATGGTAGTATATTCAACTTTACAAGCATTACACTCCAAGAAACAATAGATGCACTCAATGAAATTAAAACTAAGAAATCTCCAGGGCTTGATGGTATTAGTATAAGGTTACTAAAAGATGCATCTAATATTGTGGCAGGACCACTAGTGAACATATTCAATGTATCCCTTCAAAGAGCAATTTTCCCTAATGATTGGAAATTAGCAAAGGTGACCCCCATATTTAAAGAAGGAAATAAGGCAGACTGTGAAAATTATAGGCCAATATCTGTTATTTCAGCTGTAGCTAAACTTTTCGAAAAACTGGTATACCTGCAGCTAAGTTCATTCTTGAGGTTGAATGGCATTCTTGTGGAACAGCAGTCTGGCTTCCGTCATCAACATTCTACTGAAACTGCACTGCTTAGTTCTACAAATGAATGGTTGTTCAATATGGACAGAGGTTTACTTAGCGGAGTTTTATTTCTAGACCTTAAAAAAGCTTTTGATACTGTCGACCATCATATTCTTTTATCAAAGCTTGAATTATATGGTATTAAAGGAACTAGCCTGAAATGGTTCGAATCATACGTTTCTGGTCGAAGCCAAATATGCTCTGTGAATAGCAAGATGTCAGCTGTTAGACAAATAAAATGCGGGATACCTCAGGGCTCTAACCTTGGGCCTATTTTATTCCTATTGTACATAAATGATCTTCCTAACTGTTTAGAGACAACTAAAGCAAATCTTTTTGCTGATGACACAAGCCTTTTTTGTGAAGGGTTTAGTCCATATGAAATTGAGATCAAACTTAATAAAGACATTGAAAATGTTCATAGGTGGTTGACAGCTAACAAGCTCTCATTAAATATGAAAAAGAGTGAATTTATGATAATAGGATCAAGACGTCGCTTAGCTTCAATTGAAAATAGCCCAGTACTAACATTAGGGGGAAACAACATTAAGCGAGTTTACCAAAAAAGTCACTAGGCATGATCCTTGACGACCAGTTAAAATGGAATAAACATAATGAAATGCAATGTAAAACAATTTCAAATAATATCGCCCTGCTGAAAAGAGCAAAATTGTTTGTCAATAGAGATAGTCTGATAAAAATCTACAATGCCTTAGTGTGGCCTCATTTCAATTATTGTTCAACAATCTGGAATGATGGATGTTGTTCGATAATTGATAAATTGTTTATACTGCAGAAGAGAGCAGCGCGTGTGATAACAGGGGACACATACGAGGTTCGTTCCATGCAAACGCTAGATAGTCTTAATTGGCTTCCAATAGAAGAACTTCTAAAACAATGACAGTTAATAATGACATTTAAAGTACTAACTGGTCGATTACCTCGATACCTTGAAAAATTGTTTTCAGTAAGTCAAAATGACAATTACAATCTAAGAAGCAATCAAATTAAATTGAACCTACCCAAACCTAAGACAAATTTTCTCAAACGAAGTTTCTCGTATAGAGCTGCTAAGTCCTGGAACGAACTTCCAAGTGAAACTATTGAAAATTATAACAATCTTTCAATTTTGTCGTTTAAACGGCAATTACTTAATTCATCCGTATCAATTCATTGTAAATAGTTATATTCTTTTTGTCCTTTTTATATTATTGTTGTAAACACACGGCCCTTTGAAAACCAGCGCTGTAAATATTATCTGCTGAACAGGCTATCGTGTTTAAATAATTTTATTAAAGATTAAAGATTAAAGTAGACTGCGAGCAATTCTCCGCCCCTTTTTGCCATTTTCCCGCGCGTTCAATCTTAGTCCGGGAAACAATAAAACGAAGGAAAATAGAGGGATTGCTCGCAGTCTATGACGAAAGCAACGCGTATAATAATGCTCGAACCACTGCGTATAATGGCGAACGCACCGCGTATAATGGCGAAAGCACCACGTATAATGCTCGAACTACTGCGTATAATAGCGAAACCACCGCGTATAACGTTCGAACCACTGCGTGTCGACAAAATGCCGTTTGATCACTTACGCCAGCTATGGCTTTCCATAAAAGAAAACCAAAGATGAAAGATGATCGCATTGCTTGTTTGCCTTATGCCTGTTTATTAGGCAAGAATAGCCTGCCGGCCTGGAAGCAGTGCATTGTGGTAGTCCGAAATACGCCAAAACGATCGAGATTTCATCTGCCTTATATATATATACATATACATAAAGATTAGGATTGCTTCCTCGCTCGCTCGCTTCACGCTCGCTCGCTACGGCAGCAACTAAAGCAGCGCTTGCACAAATCAACGACGCTGAGCTATCGCATTAGAGACCTTACGACCCAGGACGGCAACGTTACAGCAACGACCACCGTACCAATACAATAAGTCATTGAGAAAATTGAATAATCACAATATATGAATAATTTAGACATTGTCTTCACTCTGTAATTACAACGCCAAATCAGAGATTTTACGTCTTGATGCAACGGCTGCATTTCAAGCCGCAACAAGTGCAACTTCAAACTGGGTTCAGCCGCACTCTACCCAACCATAAAACCCATGCCTTAAATGTAAGGCTGTATTAAATTCATACGACTGTCGACGGATGTCGAATTATTTTTACTACCATTTATGTGAAGGAGTTTGTTTTGGCTGTCGCCATCGCGCCGCCGCCCCAAAATCGCATGGACCCCAGTATTGATCTCTTACGCTTAAAGAATCACGACCACGAGTAGCTGCGTGAGCAAAACTATCTATTACACACTGAGGGTGGATATCTCCCAAAAATTCAGCTCCTATTTTATAAAGCGGAAGACTAAAGTCAGGCTAATAAATTCCTAAAGTTCACATTTATTCATATTTAGAGTCTACTGTAGTTGCCCCTGTAGACTGCGACTAAAAGTCATGAATATGTGAGTCATTTCAAGTAAAGTCCCATACATGCACATCGACACGTCGCAAGTAAAATGGAAATGTCCTTGGTATCCAATATCTTATTAATTATGATGCATAAGTAAGAGATATTTACCGGAACAGAAGATAATTCTCTTCCATCCAATTTCTTGATGTGAACTGCAGCCCTCGTGGAATAGGAAAGGAACGATGGTCCACTTCACCACTGATAAATACCGAAATTTCCAATCACGTGACTACACTTAAATTAACTTGCGCGCGCAAATAACTGATTTTGCATAATTAATTCCAACTATAAATTATTCCGGGAAGCAATAAAAACTCTTATCGCAGTGGCAATAAGTTCCTTTGTGAGAAAACGCAAGGTCTACGGAACGGGAACTTTTCGGATTTGAACTCAGCGTGTTTGACAGTGTTAGTTCCCCTAAAAATATTTCAGTTCCAAGACATGCACTACGAAAATCGTTTTCCAGACTCTTTTCAAGCCCACAGCAAACAGCCTAGTTAGGCAATGCGCCTAGCTGAGTACGATTTCGAATTGCTACACCGTTCAGGAAAAAACAATGCAAATGCTGATGCCCTTTCCCGCTGTCCGATTCCCCTCTGTAGTACTTCAGCCGAATCTACAAGCTTGAGTGAAATAGTTAACCTGCACAGTAGCACGAGAACGAACGAATAGCCTCATTAACTGAACGGCAGAGTCGTACTCATTCGTATGATAGACGTTTTCTATTGGCTATGAGATGAACTCATGATAATACTCGTAAAGTTTCGTTTGTTGTTTGTCTTTTAAATATATCAAGACATATTGACCGTGACGGCAGCGGTGCCAAGATCAGCGAGTAATGCAATCAATAAAGCAATAAATCACTTACATTGGTCATTGCTTTTTAGTAGTGTTTACAGCGGTAGAAACGGCAGCAGTATATACAGTTACACGCGGTGCGGAACACATACTATAAGCTATAAACAAGTCAGCAAGAGTCCACTTGTGCATTTCAGCATACGTCTATGCGTCAGCCTGTGAAAATTCCAGAATAACAAATCAGGCCTAGTGCAATCTTCGCGTTCCCCGTGTTCCAACGTTTGAAACATGCCTATAACTTGTATAAGTTCAGCTTTGTAAACTATTCTGCCCCAAATATATTTATTTCCGATTCAAAACACTCTTCCATATTTTCTAAAATATTCAAGTAGGCTTCGTTTTCCCCTCCTGCAACGGCAACAACACTAAGCAAATAGCTAACAAAGTATACTGTAGATGCATGCATGGCAAATATTCGGTCAATCTTTTCAAATAACTTAACGTTTGGGGGTAGTTAACGGAAAACTCACAGTTGATAGGTGGTGTTAAAACCTCTTGGGAAATAGTTCATTTTGAATTTATGCATGCATGTCGTTACTTGAGTTTAGAAAATACTCACATGACGAGCCGCACGGGTTTAAACAGGATTAACTTTTAGGTGTTGCTTAACCATAGTTAATAGAAATAATAAACATGGTTAGGAAGGCCGGCAAACTTCAAAGGCTTAGCGCTGCGATGTTGACGGGGTACTTCCGGTTGTAATCGGAGTGCACAGCTTGCAAAACAATGAGTGTCAGATGACATTTGCCACTATGGGTTTTGGGTTACAGTATTCGACACTTAGTGAGGAAACATATAGTTTGAATTGGGCAAATCTTGAAAAAAATGGACTCCGGTAGCGAAGAAGAAAGTGTTTTAGACGTTGGGGAAGAACAGTTATTTGAAGAGGACTTAGAAGTTGACGAATTCGCAGAAACTTTGAAGCTAATCGAATCGAACGCCGAAGAAATTGACCAGCAATTGTTGGACGCGATCAGCGAGGTTGGTGGTAATATTGTTCAAATGCTACTATATTCCATTTTGCCACATGGTTATATCATGGTTTGTTTCTTGTATAAATATAGGTAGAAGGAGCGAAGCACTTTCAATGTCCGGACTGCCCAAAAGTTTGCAAGTCAAAGGGTGGTTTAACCAGGGATCGTCAAAGCAAACATCCTGATGGCTACTATAAACATTCCACCTATAAACATGGAGATTATAGCAAAAATCATTGCTGAAACTGTCGAGAAACTGCGAGAAGAAAACATTTATCCAAAGGAAATTCTCGACATTATATCCAAATTGAAGCCCAGTGAATCCTTTCTCAAGTTCATAACCAAGGTTTTTCGTTTGTTCTGCAGAAAGCTCAACCAGGATAGGATGCTGGCATTGTTTTATGGCGAAATAATCAAAGATTGGAGGGTGTACTTTCCGCCTTGTGACAATCAAAAGGCTATAAATGTTTTGCTAATTCACCTCCCGCAAAAGTTGGTTGTCTATCACAAACTTGCAAGCAACAAGCAACGTGATGATCAGGTAAGGTGTACTGTCAATGTTATTTATTAATATATGATGTTTGTGCTACCGTGGTGCTACGTGGTGAATGTGTGGCAAATTTTGATTTGGGAGAATATATTAAGAACAGGAACTAAACTAGCAAAACCATGGCCATGCTAATAAAAAATACCACCTGAAATTACCAACACCAACCAAAAATACAATAATGCTTCCTATTAACCGATTGAGTTGCATTGCGCCCTACTTTATTATTTTACTCTGTCTAACACCAGATGATTTTACTCGTCAAGGGGAGAGCGCTGGTGCTTAATGGTTTAAATACATTAGGTCTGCTGGGCCTATGGCACCTACCTTTTGGGATGGGTAAATTTACACAATTACACTATAGGAATTTCTACAAATTCCCTTCAACAATCTGCCTTTAATAATTTTAGGGAGAAGATGAAATTGGTTTAAAACCAGAAGAAATTGGTCCTCTCTCCTATGTTACTGGGTATGTCCTGCAGTCCCTCTACAGGAAAAGTAAAAACTCAAAGCACTGGAACTCTCCTCGTAGTCAGGAACTGCAATTTCTACTTCAATTTCTACTACTACTTGAGGAAACCAAAGAAGACCAATACATTCAGTCTTTATCAAGAGGCGGTCTTTGGACCCCAAATGAAACAATAAAAACATTGCTAAAACAACAGAATTAATGTTTCGCCAGCACCTAAAATTGAACAAGAGTGCATCTGTTCCCACCGATAAAGT